TGGGACCACTACCTGTAACTTAAACTGCACCTTCTGTAGGATCCTGTCCCCAACCTTTTCCTATTCATGTACCTTAACATGCATCAAGAACTTCCAAACTGATGTTCTTGTCATTTTGGAGAATCTGAGAGCTGGAAGAAGCAGTGCCTTTCCATTGCAGAGGATATATCACCATTATTTTCCATTTTCTTCCACCAAACCGCTCTCAGCCCAGCCAGCTTCTGTGCCCCAGAGGAATGTGTACCTGTTTGTCTCCCAAACACTGTTGTTCCTGGCTTCCCAGAGCTGGCATGGCTCTGCTCTGCCTCTCCCTGGTTTTCCCAGCTATAACTTTGAGATGAGAGGCCTCTAAGTCTGATCTGTGCTGCAGAGCTGGAAGATTAATCAGAGGGAGAGATGAGCAGCAGTAGTGCTGAGACTGCCACAGACCTTCTTCCACCACCTGGTTTCTCCTTCTGTCTTAACAGGCTAAATTTGGAAACCTCTGTCCTATGCTAAGGAATATGTTTGAAATTGGAGGAAGCAGCGAGGGTGGCAGGTTTGACCTGGACGTTGATTTCTGTGTGGCTCTGGCCAGGGGAGCGGCCGGGACGCTCCCCGCTCGGACACGGCTCTTGCGTGCGCCGGCTTCTCCCTCGTGCGGAACACACCTGTACCACACCTGTACCATACCGGTACCGCACCGGTACCACACCGGTACCACACCGGTACCACACCGGTACCACACTGGTACCACACTGGTACCACACCAGTACCGCACTGGTACCACACCGGTACCACACCGGTACCACACCGGTACCACACTGGTACCACACTGGTACCACACTGGTACCACACCAGTACCGCACTGGTACCACACCGGTACCACACCAGTACCACACTGGTACCGCACTGGTACCGCACCGGTACCACACCAGTACTGCATCGGGACTGCACCGTGGCTCCTGCTGTGGACAGGAGCGGGCAGAGACCGAGGGGCTGCTGGAAGAGATCCAGCCAGCTCCACGTCTGCCCAGTTTGTTATATGGTGCAGATTACCCTAAATGAGGAGCTGGGTGTGAGGAGCTCTGTGAACTCACTCCAGAGCAAGTCACGAGTTTAAACAAGCAGGAGGCAAATTACGGTCGGTTGTCGCTCCTTTTTAAGAGCTGGAAGTGGAGGCATGGCATGAGTCACACAGTGCTTCTTAGGAAGCACGAGGCACTTCAAGTGGAAGCAGGGAGCATAAATACCTTTGAAAGAGAATTTGATACATTTCTGGAGGGATTATGTGACAAAGCAACAGTGATCCTTGAGCGGAAATTAAGAGTTTGACCTGTGGGATAGGTAAAAGAAAAGATGATATCTGGCTCCTGTGCAGATTGTGTTTATGGCACTGAACATACAGAGGATTAATCCTGTGCTTTGGGATTTCTGCATTTCTTGTTTGGTATCTTGCTTTTTCCTGAGCATCACAGGATGAAGCCTGGCTAAAGAGTTAGGGCTCTGAAGCCACTTAGATGGAGCCTTGCTTGCAAGTTTGAGGTTAAATTATTCATCAGAGTTTAGATCAGCAAGGCTTTTTTCCTTGGATCAGGTCAGCAGAAGCCTCAGGGTGAGTGTGCAGCTCTGCTAGTGGTGGAGCAGCAGAGTTCAGACCTTACAATACCCATGAGATTCATCTGTCTGAAGTCAGCACTGATGTTTCTTACAGTGAGAGAGGAGGCAGCAGGAGAAGAAGGTGGTAACTGAGCCCTGGAGATTCCCAGCTATGCACATGCATGGAGGGGAGGGTATTGGCTGTTCCTCATCCTCCATTGCCCTGGTCAAGCTGGGAATGGGTTTGGTGCCTGGTGCTGCTCCTATTCAGTTTGAGCAAACAGCTTCTCTGGAACTGCCCTTCCCTTCGTCCTAGAAAATAGCCAGAAAGAAAATTTCCCTTCTGTGGGGAATACTGAAAATAGCTTAGTTGCTTCAGAGGAAGAAACATAAATGCTGTTTTTACATGACTGTGCTGACTCTGCCAAGCCATGGATATGCAGTTTCACCACTCTTCCATGCAGGCCAGGCTGGCTGGGTGCATCCCTGGTGGGACGCTGTTGCCTGGCTCTGTGCTGCTCAAGAGCATCTGTCTGGATCAGGCTGAAGATCTTTCCTTCCATGACATGCTCCTGGTTGTTCACCAAGGATGGAGCCTGAGCACTGCAGTCCCTAAGCCACAGCATCTCTGCCAGAAAACAGCTCCCCTGCAGGTGGAGGACTTCTCTGCTCTCACAGTTTGACAAAGGGCTGGTCTGTGAGGTGGGAAGGACTTGGGGCACCCCAAGTCTGTGTTGCCCTTGCTGACTGTTTGGTATACTGGAGCTAGGCTGGGGTTGTCTGCTCTGACACTCAGAAACTTGGATCCTGCAGCCAGTTTGACCCCCAAGCTGCTGCTGCGAGTACCTGCCTGGAGAGGAGCTTAGAGGTGCCAGTGGAAGAAAACACTTTGCATTTGCTCTAGATCTTGGAAGTGTCAAGTTTTTCCCTGCTCTGCTGCACACTGAACGAGATGTCCTCTGTTTTTCTTCTTTTAAGGATGTTGTACATCAGATTTCTTGTTGGAGGGATTTACACTGGGCATTTCTAAGTGCTGTGTGGAAAGAGGATTGTGATCAGAAAGGACAGGGGCAAAACAAGATTGACTTGGCTGTCTTGGGGAAGTTTGGACACAGGTCAGCCTAAGCCAACAGCTCTGGGTGTGTCATGTGTCACATCTGAGGGACAGAAATGAGTCTGTCATTTATGGTTTGGTGACTTTGAGGATGCCAGATGAGCATCTCTCCTGTCTCTAGGAGGGAGAGGAGAGGCTGAAACCAGTTGACTGTCCTTCAGCCTTTTGGAAGCCATGGCATTGGCCACTCAGTCTTAAGATGATCTTTGTAGCCAAGATCTACTCTTCTGTTTCTTTTCCTGATCTTTTCTCTGAGTTGTCAGGCATGGCCTTCTGACTGGAATTCCTCCCTGGCTGCCAGTCCTGAGAGCATGTGTGATGTGTGAGAGCTCAAGGCACTCATGAGACAGTCGTTCCTTGTTTCTCTCTGCATTGTCAGCACAGCTCCTGGGGCCATGAACAACACTGTGGTTTTGTCGCAACCAAATTGTTGTTGACTTCATCTGTGATCCCAGCGCAAAAGAATGTTCTGATTTGGTGCAGTGGGCTCGTGGGGATGCAGCAAGTCTCCATGTGCCTTTGGAAGATGCTTGTGGTTGGTGGCCATGTAGCCTGTGGTACTCAAACAAGTTTTCCAAGCCATGTGACTTCATCGGAGTTGGGGAGGGTTTGCTTGCAGCTATAGTGGTTTATGGTGTGGAAGGACTGGTGAAATGTCCTGTTATCTTAAGAGGGTTTCGATGCACCTTGGGTATGCCACAAGCCATTGCTCTTGCTGCCCTGTGCAGGCAGCGTGGTGCCGTCGCTGCTCCTCAGTCTTGTGCCAGTTGCAGGCCCTGGTGGGAGAGTGCCCCAGTCCTGGAAAGCAAGGATTAGGTGAATCTAGGAGGAAAAAGAGGTGTCATGAGCATGGCCCGACCTACCACTGAGCAGGGAGACCAATGCAGGGCTGTCAGCTCCCTGGGGAATGGAGCAATGCTACAGAGGGAAGGCAGAGCCGCCAAACAGGGACGTGTTCTGATCAGTGGCAATTCTTGCCACACCTGGATCTCAGTCCAGACCATCTGCTTGACTGCTACACACAGAAATAACTGGGAACAAAACTCAGTGGGTGTAATTAAGGATGCTGCTGGCAGATCAGGGTGGTTTGGAGAAGGGTTTCTTGCTTGTGGTATGACAGCTGTTATATGGCAGGGGTTTTCCTGCTCTGGGAGTGCTTCCTAGTTCTCCATTTATTTTTTATCAGCCTTTAGGGCCTTGTGCCTTTGACTTCTGACATCACCCTCTGTCAGCTTATAGGATAGCAGCGTAGGTAAAACACTGGGGGTTTTCCCCTCTTCTTTTATTTGCACACTCACAGCTGCTTACATGGTGGAGGCCCTGGGTTGTGGCCCAAGGTGACCAGGGCAGGCCTTGCTGGTTTGGCACCCTGTGGAGTCACTGCTGGAGTCCTGCAGATCCCAGAGAAGCAGCAGCAGCTGTGGCTGAGAGCGAGGCAGGAGTATGGCTGCAGCATGTGTCCTTCCCATTGGTGAGGAGAAAGCTGTTCAGGAACCCGTGAGGCAAGGGACAGGTTCCTCCAGCACCACCAGTGCTGTCATCTGTCACTTGATTATACATGCTATGGTGGTGTCACTTTATTATACATGCTGTGGTATTAACCCCCCAGTTTCCAGAATGGTGTGATTATATGAAATTAGGAGCTTTTGACTGTTTAATATAAATTCCCATTCAGTTTCTATGACTGCACAGAAAAGCTGGAAGGCATATTTTATAGGTTCAGAACTCAGATTTAAGATTTGAATGACTTTCTTGATGTGCTGGGCTGTTGTTGGGTTGGGTTCATCTGGTTAATGAACACACAGATGCTTCCTTATTTTGAAACGTCTTCAGAGCTTGAATGGTTGCTATAAGATCCAGAATGCATCTGCTGCTATTCCAGTTGGATTCAGAGATGAGGCTGCAATAGAGCCTGGACTAGACAAGAGATCTGCCTGCATCATATGGGGACAGATCCATGTCAATCAGGACTGCGATCTGGGGGTTATATTTGAACCCTGCTTTTTGGGGTCTTTGTGGATCCTTGAGACCTTCACCCATACAGCCAGAAGCAGCACTTTTTTTGCTGAGAGCAGGTTTCCTCCAGCAAACCTTTGTCTTGGCTGCATCAGGCAGGGTATGTAAGAAATCCTCCAGCTGAATAGGCCCATCTGTCACGCGGAGCCAGACTGATGGCAGGGACAGCATCCGGTACGTGCGCAGCCTCTCCGCGGGACACTGGCGGGGAGAGACATCGCCTCCGGCCCGCGGCCGCGGTGGCCTTTGTCCTGTCCTGCTGGCAGGCTCCTCCCGCGGCACAGGCGGAGGCAGGAAATCCCGGGCAGCTGCCTGGGAGCCTCCTCGCCTTTCCTCGCCTCTCCCTCGGCTCTCCTCGCCTCGCCTCGGCACCGAGGCGAGCCGAGCCAGCCCTGCGTGTGTGTGCACGCGTAGGCGGGGGGGCTGCCGCATGGATTTAGCGAAGGCTGGGAGGGAACACATGGGTTGGGGTTTTTTCCCTTGGCCCGCCGTGGCTGTCCGTCCGTCCTGCCAGGCGCGGTTATGGATTCGATCATTATTCAGGAGCGGTTAGTGGAGCGGCTGCTGTCTCCCCGGACGCAGGCACAGCGAAGCCACCCGGGCAAGCTGAAGGTACAGCGATGTATTTATAGCACTGCGCGAGCCGGGGAGCAGCGGGGACGGGAGGGGGGAGGATGGTGCCCGAGAAGACGCGCGCAGCACAAGATGAGACCTCTGAGGAGCAGAGGAGCGGGAGGACGCCGGTAAGGGAGGGACGGCGGGCACGGAAAGGACGGGAGCAGCCCCGCGGGCGCGGCGCTGAGGGGCGCTGGGCAGCGGGGAGATGCGCGACGCTTTTGTGCGGTTATTCGAGACAGCGATTCCCCGTCTGAATGGCGTGTGCCTGCATGGGGGGCTCCGGGCAAGGAGTCAGCGCTATGTATGCCCACACGCAGTCCGATTTGTGTTAATTAGCACTGTGTTAATGCTGTGCTTTGCTGGCCGAGTTCCTTCTCTTCAGCAAATGCTGGTGGCCGAGTGGTTTTGCCGATTCTCCTGTGCTCAGCCCCGGGCCCGAGGAGCAGATGTCCGTGGCAGATGCCTCGGGGGCTGTTTGTGTTATGAATTTATGCAGCTTTCTGCAATGAAAGGAAGCAAATGGTCTGCCTCTCCTCCAGGGCTGGGCTGTGCTGGTCCGTGCCGACGCGGATGTGGCGGCCGTGCCTGGCCGGAGGGGAAGGGCTGGGGAAGGGCTGGATGGCTTGTGCCACCGAGAGGCTGTGACACCGAGAGGGCCCCTTCCCCCTGAAGAAGCAGAGGCGCCAGGTCCTAGTACAGCTCCATCATTTCTGGGGCTTGCTCCAGACCTTGACACGAATTATTCTTCAAATTTGCTGTGGTCCCATAATGTTTAATTTTAGCCCTTTTGAATATACCCAGCAAGGCCCCTTTTATCCCCAGGCTGAATGAAGTCACGTGAGATCTGGGTTGGTTTAAACAGCACATCCACCAGAGACGAGAGGAGGGAATTGGGAAGGACAGGAGTGATGGAGGCTGTACTCTGCCTTGGAGGTGCAGACTGCCCTGTGAGCACCTCAGTACCAGGCTAGCTTCTCCTCTGTGCAACACATCCCGAGTGTTTCTACACCCCCAGCATGAACAGAACTTGAGCCCACCCAGGGCTTTATTTCTTGGCTTGAACTCCCAGGGAGAGCACTGGCTGCCAGGGGAGCCCTGTCCACCCTGGCTGGGTATTAGAGGATGTGAGGATGTGACACGTTGCTGTAATGTCTGGTGAACCAGCAAGCATGTGCCAAGGGAGAGTACGGGTGTGTTTTTCTTGGCCTGAGGTGCTTTGGTTTGTGACAGGGTCCCAAAGATTGGCCGCAGCTCTTAGTGGCCTCTGTGGTAGTGTGTGGGGCATGTTCCCAGGCACGTGGTTGCGGGATGCCAGCAGGAACAAAGGCAGCAGCATGGAGCAGGTGATGGGAGAGGGGCTCTTTGTGCCAGAGTGCTGCTGGCTTGGCTGGCTGAGGCCCTTTCCTGACAGCTGGAGCTGGCAAGGGAAGCGCAGTGCAGGAACCAGCTGTCCTGGCTTTTGTCAGCTTGATGGGACCTGGCTTGTGAGGGTCAAGAGCACAAGGAGGGGGCTGTGATGCATTTAGGAACTCCCTCCATCCAGGCCTCTTGTCTAATTAATGGATTTTAGTTTTTCATAGCCCAGAAAGCCCCCTATCTCTGTCAGTAGCCCTCCCAGGCCTCTCCACTCCATGTGTGGTTGCTCTGCAGGCAGTACCTGGAGGTGGTGAGTGGTTTAGAACTTTGGGCAAGGCACAGACCAGCCTTGGGAGGCTACTTGGGCTTCTTAAGTGCCATGTTGATGATGCCATGCTATCAGAGGTAGTGGTAAATACCTGTCATAGTGCCTGGATATGACTGGACTAGGAGCACACACTGAATGTCTTGACGTGAAGGTGAAGAACCACAAACCAAGGCTGGTGCAGAGACCACGCTGCTGTTCCTGAGATAAGGCTGTTACAAGAAGGGGATCCCTCCTCCCAACTCACCTTGCATCTCTTGCCTTCACCCTTGACAGGGCTTTGCAGTGTGTCCATGGCTGGTCAGAGAGAGACATGGCTGTGGACAGGGTTTTTCCCCTCACAGGTCTGTCTGCCTCCCATAGTGAGGGAAGCTCTTCTGTTGGTATTGCACTCAGCACTGACCTTCCTTTCTGCAAGGGAAATGACTACATGAGTCATGGGTAAAGGGCAGTGTCCTGCACCAGCTGGGATTTGCTCATTTTGGATATCGTGATTTCACAGAGCCATGGGGAGGCAACCAGAGGTATAGCAAATCCTTGCTCTCTTGGCTGGGCTGAACAGAAATGAGAGATCAGGTTCAGCCAGTTACACCTGGCAGAAGTAAGTAGAGTTGCACCAGAGCGCAGCTCCCCAGTGTCTCTCCATTGTCAGCCCTTAGTCATCTAGGTTAAAAACCAAGAAACACACCTCAAGCCTCAGCCATGGCTTCATTAGCACATTACTAGTACCATTTCACATGTCAAGTCACTGGAGAGAGCAGGTGATTATTGTCTTTCCAAAGTCTGGTGAAGATCAGGGCAGGAGAAGCACAAAAGGGAAGGATGTTGTATATTTGTGGTGCTTGCTGGGACACACTGGACCTTTTACTGTGAGGAGTTGGCTGTTATGTGTCCACTTTGGCTCTGCTCATGGATGTGTTTTACCAGGAAATGAAGCAGCTGGGAGGCAGCTCTGGTACTGAGAGACAGAGGCTGAAAGCAGTCTTTTCTTCCTTGTTTTTGTGACCATGCCATTATCCCGTTTCTCACTCTGCCTTGCACACCTCGTTTGCCCTTTACTGAGCCCTCTGGGTGGCAGTTTGAGCTGTCCCCCAGGCAGGCATTGCTTTGCTGCATGCAGCTTGTCAGAGCTGCCATCACTCATCACCCGGGGTCTCGCTGCCGCTCGCTGCACTGCTGCTTGGGATGTCACTGCCTTTTAGGTCAGTCATTACAGCTGCCAGTGGAGCCCTTTGGGCACTCTCTAATTCTCCCCATTTCTCTAACTTAGTTTTCTCTGTCCTTTCCCGCCTTTCTGGACGGTGGGGTGGTGAAACAACATTGCTTCAGCTATGGGAGGTGAGGAGATCAGAACCCACAATCACTCAGGGCTAAAATGACCAAGTTTCAGACCCAAACCAAATCTCAATTGCTGGAAGGTAGTGACAGTGCTAAAGGACAGAATCCTTGGGCCATGATGGCTGTCAGCCATATCTGTTCCATCACAGTGGGCAGTTCCAGAGCAGCCATAAATTGGGAGGAGGAGGCTCTGTCTTCCTGATCAGTGTCCCCAGTGGAACTTTGCTGTCTGTCAGACTGAGGCTGCCCAGGGATTCTCACACAGGTGGTCATGCAGCTGTAGACAGTTGCTTGGGAGTGACGTTGCCCACCTGCAGTGTGGAAATAGGTGCAAGTCAGCATTGCCCTAAGCTTGGCACCCTGGATCATATTTTGTATTTGAGTGTGTGGCCCAGGAATGGAGATAGTTAAACTTATGAACTGAGGTGTTCCCTGTTGTGCCTGGAGAGTGGGTGAGGACAGTCATTTGCTTGAAGGCATCCATGGAATAGGAGCTAGGGCCAGTTTTGAGGAACTCCTCTCTCCATGGATTTATCTGTACTGTGAATTCCAGTAGTATGATTATATTCAATGATGTTGAAATGCAGAGTCTATCTTGTCTCTAGCTCAGGCATTTGTGAATGGCTTAGTGTGCTTGTACAGAGTATGTGCCATGCTTGTGAGGTGTCTGTGGATTTTGTGCTGTGAGGGAGCACTCAGTGACAAGGAGCTCTGTCTGGGGTGTGGTTGGGTGGTAGATAACACTCCAGTAATACTAAATGTAATACCCTCACCGAAATCATCTCAGTTCTTTTATCAATATTTCCATATCCTTCCACTTCCCTTGTTCCTTGAACTTTGGTCTCCTCGGAAATAACAAAAGAGATTACTCAGGATTTCCTCTTATTGAGCCAGGAGTGGCTGTGACACAGCAAGAAATAATTCCATCTCAAGTCAAGCAGAAGGTGAGCCACTGTACCTTCTTCTAGACATGGCTCAGGACAGTGCAAGCCCCAGGGTGCTAATTACAGAGCTCTCCATCATGTAGCACATGTGTCTCTGGAGGGAAGGATGTGGAAATGACCCGGGGAGAGGTGACATTTGGCGACCCCGCTGTGAAGGGAGTCTGTGACAGTGCAGATGAAGCAGAGTTAGGAAAGCTGTCTGTCAGCAGCAGCCCTGGATGTGCTCTCTGGTGGGAGTGGTGGGATGTGCCTTTTCCTTTGTGGTCTCTATGCTGGGAAGCTGCCAGGAGAGCAGCCAGGCAGGGCTGTGGCTGGGACATGTCCCTTTGTGCCCACCTGTGGGAAGGGACAAGTCCCTAAGCCCAGAGGAGGTGTGTGCTTTGCCCTGCACTGCTGCCAGGGCAGGGATTTGCCTCTCTTCCAGCCCTTGGCTCTGCCCAGGGGCTTTTTGAGTCCCACTCCTTGTCACTGTGAGGCTCAAGCAGAAGGCGTGGCACACTCTGACCTGCTGCCATCCACCTCTGGCCTGCAGGACCATGAGAAGCAGTACGTGGGCTTTGCCACTCTGCCCAACCAGGTCCACCGGAAATCCGTGAAGAAGGGTTTCGACTTCACCCTGATGGTTGCAGGTGAGACAGGATGGAGGTGGCTGGGCCACATGGTGGGGGTATGTGGGGGGAACCAGCTCTCCTTGCTTCCCTTAGGTGCTTCCATAGCACCTGAATTCTCCCCTCACTCTGTTCTGGTCCTTGTCTCAGGCCCTGCTTTGCTCCCCAGCCTGTGGCAGTTTCCCCAGGAGGAACAGGTCCTTCCTGACCCCTCATAACCCACTCGAGGAAGCTTTTCCTGCAGCAGTGACTCCTCTGGGTGGTGGAGGGAGGGCCAAACAGGGACCAAGGGAAAGGAAGGAGAGGAAGAATGGGGAGCTGGGAGATCACATTTTTACAAGGATTGAGACATCTTGCAGCAAAAGTCTTTCCACTACTGGAAAAATGTAGTGCCAATAAACAGCTCCTGACAGTTTGTCTCTCTTGCTTCCTCTGGCTCACGATTCAAAGCCTTGTTCAAAGTTTCATTTGTAAGTCAATTAGTGGGTCATGTTGCTTGCTTATTCCTCCTCCCCTTTGCGCTCTGTCAATTAGGAGAATCGGGCCTGGGCAAATCCACGCTGGTGAATAGCCTGTTCCTGACAGACCTCTACAAAGACAGAAAGCTCCTCAATGCAGAGGGTGAGTTGGGGGCAGAGCAGGGTGAATGGGACTGTCCCAAGGACTAACACTGTGGTTCCTTGCTTCAGCAACAGCTACAAGCTTGGCTGGATCACAGCCCTCTTGTTTGGCTCTGCTCTTTGTGTCTGCTAAGGCTCTAGAATTGAGAAAAAAGGGGTTTGGCTGTAGGGCATTTCTGTCCTTTGAAGGGAAGATGAAGCTACAGAGCAGCAGTAGCCCTTTGGGATCAGATATTAAGATTTGTCTTTTGTTCTTGGACGCTGGAGTATGGTAGGGATTCCCCTTCCCCAGTGACTGGACAAAATGTTGAGAACAGCTGGGCTACAGGCACTATAGAGGTTTGTGTATCTTCTTGGAGTCTGTCTGCCTGCTGCTGGCCCCTGCAGTACCACCCCCTTGAGTCTCCTTAGGGCATGATCTGGGGTTTTTGAAACCTGTGTTACTCCATGTGTTCAGTGGTAAAAGGGAGCTGGCTTGTCATGGGTGTAGTGGGGATCCCCAGCAATACTGCCTGGCTTTAACTCACGTGCTCCTGTTCAAAGAGAGGATCAACCAGACAGTGGAGATCATCAAGCACACAGTGGACATTGAGGAGAAGGGTGTCAAGCTGAAGCTGACCATAGTGGACACACCAGGCTTTGGAGATGCTGTTAACAACACTGAGTGGTGAGCAGGGCATTGCTGCCTTCCTTTTTGTCCTTGACCTCACAGTCATTAGGAGACAGTGGACACTACTGATGATTTTGTTTTGATTGAATTGCCCTTCCCAGCTGGAAGCCCATCACTGACTACATTGACCAGCAGTTTGAACAGTATTTCCGTGATGAGAGCGGCCTGAACCGGAAGAACATCCAGGACAACCGAGTGCATTGCTGCCTCTACTTCATCTCTCCCTTTGGGCACGGGTGAGAGCCACACTCGGGGCCTGGGGAGTGATTCAGTCCAGAGGGAAGATCCTTGTGCCCCAGGATTGCCCTGTAGCAGCTTCTACACTGCCAGGGCTGTTTGCAGAGGAAAGGAGCAATGTCTGGATGTTCTCCCTCTGCTGAGCATCACAGCACTCCCTTCCCCTCACTGGCAGGACAGACTGTCTGTGAACAGCAGATCTCCCTCAGGCCTTAGAGCCTGATTTGAAAATCAGAAGAAATAATGCCATGCAGACTTGTATGTTCTTATCTAGCTAAGCTGGATTGATGTGTAGGAAAGGGAGTTTTAAGCTGCTTTCAGTCCCTGCCCCTTGCTGGCTCATGTGTCAGCCTAGCCTGGAGCAGCTGAAGGGGCTGTGTTGGCTGCCTGTGCTACAGGACAGCTGGAGGGAGACCCCAGGCTGTGACCTGGGCAGTATTTGGCCTACAAGGGAGCAAATACCCAGCCAGTGTCTGTATGAGACACTTGGCAGCTAAAATTGGAGACAGCTTTCCTGGAGGTACAGCCCTAGCTGAGGGCTTTCCCAGTGCTGCTGCAGGCTCTTGTGACAGTGCTGTCCTTTTCCCTTTGTGCTTGGTGGGTGTGAGAGGCTGGAGGGGGAGCTGCCCAGTATGTCTTTGCTAACAGTGTCCCTCATCCCTGCTGCAGGCTGAGGCCTGTGGATGTTGAGTTCATGAAGGCCCTGCATGAGAAGGTCAACATTGTGCCCCTGATTGCCAAAGCTGACTGCCTGATCCCCTCCGAGATCCGGAAGCTGAAAGAGAGGGTGAGATACTCTTTCTGTACAGGGTTATACCTGAAGTAGTGTCAGGGATCAGCTGAGGGGGGAGGGCAGGTAGACATACATGTATTTATGTGTCTGTACAGCGTGTTTGTGTGTATATATGTACACATACGCAGTGTCTGCACATACAGCTGCAGCCGTGCTCTGCTCTCAGCAGAGAGGATGACTGTAGAAGAAACATCAAATCCTTTTGCCCATCTGTAGGCTATAGCAAACCATGATAGCACAAACAGAATAAACCCAGCATTTCTGTATTGTTCAGTTTTACATCCTTTTGGTTTTGTCTTGCATGGACATAGATCCGGGAAGAGATCGACAAATTTGGCATTAAAGTGTATCAGTTTCCTGAGTGTGACTCTGATGAAGATGAGGAGTTCAAGCAGCAAGACAGAGAGCTGAAGGTAAGGAATCTGCTCAGCAGGGTCTGGGGAATCAGACTCCTGGGTATGTGGGTCAGTGCAGAAGGAGCCAGAGCTGCCCTGCTTGTGCTGAAGACCTGTTCTACTGCTACCCAGGGAATAGCCTTGGCTCATGTGGTAGATGCCCTGGGGAAGGTGCTGATGTCCTTGCTGGTGCCATGAAGTCAAGTGTGGCGTGAACTCATGGTCCTTCTCTCTCTCTCAACTCACTGCTCTCCCTCCAGGCAGTGCCAGTCTTTCCTTCATCTACCCCAGCCTGTGTGTTTAAGATGAAAGCTGGGTTGTATAGCAGTTCTGAGCCTCTGTTTGTGGATGATGCCATCAGCAAGCAGGAGAGATTTTTGAGTGATTAGGCACCACTGTGACACATCAGTTGCATTGGGGGACACAACATGCTCATACAGGCACATCTGGAGGCCCCAGCAGCCCAGTCCTCACTGCCTCCCAAGCCTGTGTGTGCATGCAGTACGGCTTGTTTCTCCTGTCAGACGAGGGCAATGGGCTTTGACTCCCTTCTGAGCAGACAGGAGCACAGACTCCACATTCCCACTCTTGGCGTATATTGTTCCTTGCTTGGTGTCCCAGCCTCTTTGCTTCCTTGTAGAGCTTTCCCTTAATGAAGGGATGCAGGCACCTGCAGAGACACAGCTTCCCTCAGGACAGCTGAGCTCAGGCTGGGAACTAGGCTGCGTGTACATCCCAGTGCTTTAGGCTTTTCTCTGCAACTGAGTTGAGGTGCTGTGCTCTGTGGCATGTGTGGATGTCCCTGTGCCTTTCCTACCAGCACCTTCCTCCTGCTGTTCTGCTGTGCCTGAGCTTGGCCCCTGGAGAAGGGATCCATGGGCAGCGGGGGCTGAGCTGGGCTCAGCGGTGCCTCTCGTTCCAGGAGAGTGCTCCCTTCGCCGTCATCGGCAGCAACACCGTGGTGGAGGCGAAAGGCCAGCGGGTCCGTGGCCGCCTCTATCCCTGGGGCATTGTGGAAGGTAAGCATGGAGCCTGGGAGCACTGGGAGGAAGGGCAGGCAGGGACGGGGCAAGGACAGACAGGAATTTCCAACACAGAGGCCAGGGGAGAGCTGGGGCTGTCTGGGCCACCTTTGGCACATGGCAGGGGACAAGGTAGGATAGAGACAGAGGCATTGGGACTTGCTCAGGAGGTCTGTGTTACTGGGAGTGTATCAATAACCCTCCCATTGCAGACTGAGGAAGAGAGGCTCCAGTGTGAATGGATGAATGGCTAAGCTTTAATGTGCACTAGGACATGGCTTCTTATTAAGCTTCTTATTAAGTTTATTTTCTGGGGAGAAGCTGTTTCTTTCAGCCAAACAATCAGAAACCCTCATGCACTCCCTCCTCTGCTGCTGCTCCTGTAAGTGCTGGAATTGCTGGGCTGGAGGCTGTGCTGATGCACAGTGTTTGTCTCCAACTTTCTTTCCTTCTAAAGGGAGAAATTTCATAAAGCCTTTAGGCAGAATAACCCTGGAATGGCTTTTGCTGCTGTTGCTGATTTGTCCTTGCTGGTTTGTTGCTTTAAGACCTTGCAGCTTTAGATCCCAAAAGCTTGTGTTTGCACTCATGGGCTGGTGCTGGCTGCTTGGGCTGCTCAGCTGTTGGCTCTGCTCCCTCAGTGGCTCCAGAGGGTCATGTGCCTGTTAGGATGCTGGCATTTGGCAGAAGGATCAACTTTGTGAATCTCTGTGCCTGATACAGTTGGTTTTCCCCAGCCCTGAAGAGAGGCAAATGGAGATCATCACAGCAGCACAGTGCTTCCCACAGTGCTGTCTGGAGCTAGGCTCCCCATGGCAACAGCAGCTCTCAGCTTCCATTGCCTGTTCTTGGCTTTGCCCCTCAGGGGCTGATTTTGTCTACAGGGGCTTTTTGATAAGTCCTAGATTCTGATCAGACAAGTAATTTACCTCCAGTACCAGCTGTGCTCACTGTGGTTATAACAGTGACATCCCATTAGATGTGATCCTCTCTCAGGGCTCTGCTGTATGTGCTTGATTAATTCTTTTACACAGAAAAGGTCCTGGGACCACGGTGCCTTCAGCAGCCTGGTCTCGGTGTTGAGGCCATTGAGGCCTGTGCCATGGCAGTGGCAGGTGACGATGAGGAAGGAGCCCTGGGTGGGGTTTTAGTCCAGTCCATGTGTCCAGGAGCTGAGAAGGGGCTCCCTGGAGAGGCCTGGTGAGATGTGATATCCAGGCACTCTCCTGCTGTTGCTTCCACAGTGGAAAACCAGGCACACTGCGACTTTGTGAAGCTGCGGAACATGCTGATCCGGACACACATGCACGACCTGAAGGACGTCACTTGCGATGTCCACTACGAGAACTACCGAGCTCAGTGCATCCAGCAAATGACCAGGTGGGTCCCCACCTCTGGTGGGAGAGGTCTGTCACCTTCTGTGGAGCTGGGGTTGCTCTCACAACAGCTCATTGGTCAGGAGGCTGTGGATCTGCTGGGGACTTGCTGGGCTGCAGCCTCCAGGAATGGCACTGGTAACTAAAATAGCAAATCCAAGCATGTTTCCCACAGCCTGAACCCAAGGCAGGAATGCTTCTGAGAATCCTCATTCCTGTCTGAGGATTCCCCATGCAGATATAAAGAAACAGGCCTGGAGATTCTTTTGAAGAGCTGTTTCTAGCAGTGTATGAAATATATCCAGCCTAATAAAATGGGATAAACCATCTCTCTGCTGAGGGATAGCTGTGTGCATTGCTGAACAGGAATGCATTCTGTGGTCTGCAGTTATGTCTAAATAATAACATGACCCTTGGGATGCTGCTGTTTCTCAGGCAACAGGGCCCAGGCAATTAGTAAGGCAACACATCTTCAAAGATTTCTCTGCATTGTCTTCCCTTTGCATTTGATGCTCTGTGGTTTTAGTCAGAATGATCAGAAAACAGAAGAGAGAACACTCACAGGCTTCTCATTTGAGACCTCTACTTTTCCTTCTCCCTTCCATGACGGATATACTGGTGAAAAAACTTGGGTTTAAGTAGGTCTTGGCTCCTCTGTTGTGAACCATTCCCTTCACTTCCTGCCAGCCCTGGCTGGTAGCTCTGTGCTGCCACGTTGCAGAGTAGAATGGCTGTGCTTCAGCAAGGAGCAATGCTGCATGTGTGCCAACGTGCAGGTTGGCATGGTCTTCTGACACGCAGTGTATGCCTGTACTTTTGCATAGCAGACAAGCTTGTTTTTTTCAGCAGCAAGTATATGGAATCCCAAAATAACTATGTTAAATGCTAGAGCTGGGTGAACAGTGTCATAGCTGCTATTTAGGTAGGCTGTGTGTCTATTAAAAGAAGAGCACAGTGAAAAAGTGGTTGCTATGCCTAGAGAAAGCTTCAGTTTGGTACCATTTCTCATGCCATGATTAGTTCCTTGCCAGTGAACAAGTTCCATAAAACCAGCACAGGGCCATTTCTAGGGGAGTTGTTTTTGTAGGAGAGCCTAAGCTCCAAGGCTGGAATTTTCTCAATAATGAGCCTATGGTGACTCCAAGTGGTGAATACGTGCAAGTGTCATCTTGAAGTTCCAATTTCAGCCCAGTCTTCTTTGGGTACTACCATTCCCTCCTCATTTACTGAGCGTGCCTGTCTTTTGAAAGAAAATCATCTCCTTCCTGTGTCCCCTACCTGCATTCATGGGCACCTCAGCCCTCAGAGCAATGCTGCTGTGCTGGCCTGTCTTGTGCCCCCCACTTCCTGAACAGGAGGTCTCATTCTCATCCAGGTGCATGCCACAGCTCTGGACTAGATTGCCCTATGGCCCCTCCACTGGTTTGGGTGTGTGATGCTGCATTGCTGGTGGCTCTACCACGGGGAGTATCAGTCATTGTGTGGTGACACCAAAGCCAGCCATCCTGGACCACAAGTGACTGCTCTTCCCCCCTCTTTCCATCTCTCTAGCAAGCTGACTCAGGACAACAGGATAGAAAGCCCCATTCCTATCCTGCCTCTCCCAACACCAGATACGGAGACAGAGAAGCTGATTAAGATGAAGGATGAGGAGGTGAGTACCATTTCTGCCTGTCCCTCCTGGATATTGGAGCTGGAATCCCAGGAGTTTCTCCACAGTTGCCCCATACAGGCAGTCCTGAGGCTTCCCACTCCTGTGGGCTCCTGGGGTGGAGGACTGTTGAAAGGGTTGAAAGCTGTGTCTTCTCTGTCAGGGAAACATAGCTCCCTTCCACCTCAGACACAGGTACCTCTGTGCTCAGGCAGGAGTTAATACTCCCTGAGGGATCCCCTTGTCAGCTCCAAGGGGTTCCCAAGTCTGGATCCACTCGTCCCTTTCTGACTCTCTCTTCTGTCTCTCCTGCAGCTACGGCGGATGCAAGAGATGCTGCAGAAGATGCAGCAGCAGATGCAGGACCAGTGAGAGGCAGGTACCTGGAGGGCAAAAGGGATCCCCCAGTGACCATCTGAGACCTGGCAAGAGCTGTGAACATTTAGAAAAGGTTTCCAATTGTATAGAGACTTGTGGGCAAGAGCTGCACCCGCACCCTCTAATTTATTAGCAGCAGTGCTGGCTTTTTGACCAGCTGGATTGTGGAGGAGGCTGTTCACTTAACAGTTTACTGATGTGTATTTCTTTTTTTAATAATTATTCTTTCATTTATTTTTTTCCTTTTTTTTTTTTTTTTTTTTTTTTTTTTTTTTTTTTTTTTTTTTTTTTTTTTTTTTTTTTTTTTTAAGAAGCTAGCCTGGGACATCTCTAAGGCATCCTAAAAATAAGAAAAGAAAAAGTCCCCCCTTTCCTATGTACTAATCTCTTGTTTGGGAATGCTCTGGTATTTAAAATCCTGGTTTCTCTGGTGTACAGACTTAGAGTATCTGTGTCAATGCACGTAAGTGTTTACTCCCAACTGAGGTGCTGTGCCCCGGTCCCTGTTCCCCTTGTCTGAGGCCAGCACAAGCATTGTAAAGGCAGCCATACCCTCCTGTGAGTTTGACCTGTGCTGCTTGGGCTTCTCAGCCTGGGGACAGTGCTGGCCCAGAGAACTGGGGCTGGGGGTTCCTCTGTGCACTGACCTGCTCAGGAGTCCTGATGATTGCCTGGTATCCTGTCCAGGTTTTTATGGGTTTTTTGTTTAGTTGGTTGGTTTTGTTCTTCCTAGCAAGAAAACTCCAGGATGTTTGCACTGAACAGCAAAAGACTGAGTGCCTCGAGGCTGGTTACAAGAAAACTGTTCTCAGTTACATCTTTCTGGCAAAGAGGTTGAGTTGTTGACTATTGCCTGCAAGGAGGTGATTGGAGTGAGCCCTTTCCCTGCCATGGTTTCCTCCCACAGCAGGCTGGAGGCATTGGTAGAGGAACCCTAATGCCCTGCAGTAGCTGTGTGAGGGTGTTTCATGGTTTAGCTCTGGTCATCACCTGCAGTGTGTCTTCAGTGTCTGCTCTGAAAAGCACTGTGGCAGCCAGAGCACTTGCCGAGACTGCTTTGGAGGGGGTAGAAACCCTAGGGCTGAAATCCAACCCAAAATGCAGACCTGTCCCCTACCCCCAGGCTTTACAGTCCTACGGGCGCATTGCTGGCTCCAAGCTTCTCCTGGGGGAAGGGGCAGTTTTTGTAGGCTTGTATCCAAGATCTGCAGGCAGTCTGTGTGGGCAGGTGTTGGGTCAGCCTGGCAGGTGCAGAGCTGTCATTGAGTGGGGCTGAGCACAGCCCAGCAGGCTTGGCTCTTGCTCCCCTGCCTTTCCCCTGGGCATTCAGCCCTTCTCCCCCTCCTTATTCCTTGGCTCTTCCTGCCCTAGTGCCGGGAAGGCTGGTGGGTCTGCTGGGCAGAGATAAAAGCACTCTTTGGGTAGCAGCTCCTGTCCTGTTCTTGTTTCCTGCAGTATTTTTAACTTGAGTCCAGCCAGAGCAGAGCCCTGGAGTGTGATGTGCCTGACAGGGCAGGGCTCATCAGCAACACTGCCACACTCACAGGAGTCAGGGCTGTTGGAGGGAGAGACACTTGGCTCTTCCCTCTGAGTCCAGGGAGTGCAGCCATGGGCTGGGCCCTTCTGCTCCTTGGCTGACTCCTCTGCCCCCTTTCCCCTTTTGTATCTGTTCCTCCATCTCTGGATCTCCCCAGTAGATCTCCCTGGGTAGGAAGCACAGTGTTGGCCAGGAATAGGCAGGCCCTAGATTCTGTTACTAGCCACTGCATTTGTCTGATTCCTCCCTGGGGGTTTGTCCAGGTCACTGGTGAGTAGGTTGGCTGGTTCCAGTTATTCACTGTACAGAGCCTCTGCTTAGCCAGAGCATGGACTGTAGGGGCAGGGGAGAGACCCTGGCACCGTGTGGAAGGACAAAGTAAGGATGACACAACTGTGCAAGCTGAGCAAGAGTAGTGTTCAACAATGTTCAGGGTTGTTTTTTTTTTTCATGCTCCCCTATTTTGGACTCATAAGTGGCAGTGCCATTCTAGGAGAGCAGAAGGATTCAGCTTGATTTCAGTAACATGAAGGACTGAGGCACCTGAGAGCAAGTATAACCTTTCTTTGCATTATGTGCTTACTTGAGCAGTGGAGTAGCCTGAAACAGGAGCTTCCTCCAGGTTTTCCAGAAAGGTGGACAGCTGAGTTCTCAGCTTTGTCTGTGCTAACATAAAAGGAAACATCTTGAAGTACCTGTCCCCTCTTTTCTTACACTAATCTTGGTGAGGAGGATGTTCTGTTGCAAATGAGCCTCGTCTACCTGGAGATTTTCCTCTTTCAAACAGATTCATTCCTAGAAGATAAAGGGGACCTTTTCCCTTTAGCATGGACATAGAGCAGCTGACACCTTTCATGCTGGGCTGTGCACAGAGGTGCTGTGTGCTGGTGAAAGCTCAGGGTACACTGGTCACAGGCAGGGTTTCTGAGGGTGGATCTGCCCATCCCTCCACGTGGGGAAGTCTCCATCAGCTCAGTGCATGTGCCTCCTACATCAAGTCAAGGATCACAAGCCTGTCCTCTACAGAGAGCTGAAGCCTTTGGCTACCAGCTGGCAAAGATGGTTCAAGTTGCATTTAGGGAAAACCACACAAGAGTGAGGCACCAGAGATGGCTTCTACGGAGGGGTGGTGGTACCACTGAAATCATGTCTCTGTAGGATGTTCCCTGGCCAGAATTTAGGGACTGCTTGGAAAGGGATTAGAGACTGATTTTGGGGGATGTCAGGGGTTCAGATTCTGTCCTGAAAGGTGGAATCTGTTCATTTAAGGAGTGTGTTGTACTGTGGCATCAGTTCTCACAGTAAGTGGAGAAGAGACTCCTGAACACAGGGAGCTTAGCCATGTGGCTCTGGCAGTGAGAAGTGTGGATAGGAAAGTAATTTAACTCCTCCCCTCACAACCCTCCACAGCCTCACATACAATCCCTGCACCCCCTGGCACATTCCCATGTCTCTGCCAAGCTTTGTCCTGCTGAGTGAGTGGCTGCAGGGATGGTGTCCCACTCCACAGCTATGCCAGGCTGCAGCTGGGGCTGTTGGTACATCTTGGCCCCTGTGCCTGACAGGATGGATCCATGGCATGAACCCCTTGTGTGCCACTGCTGTGCTGGTCCTGCCTGTGCAGTCTTTGCTGCCTCCTTGCATGCCTCCCCTCAAAGGAGGGGCTCCCACTCGTCGTGCTCTGCAATGGCATTCCCTGCTCTTCCTCACAAACTCTGCTGTGCTTTAATGCTGCCTTGCTCCTGCCATGTACCTTCCTCACCCCCTGCTCCATTCCTAGGCTCTATGTTTCCTGTCCATCTGTTGGGTTATTATAATTATATTTTTTTGTAAATTTCTGTTTGAACATTTTGTCATTGTGAACAAAGAAAATGAAACCTTTTAAACATATCCATTTTATTAAATGATTATTGTTATTATTATTAATGTTTACTACCTGAATTGATCAGTGAAATAAATACATTCAAAAATCCAACCTCTTTCTGTTTAATTTTCATCCCCCTTGAGCAGAATTGGTGATACATTATAGGCAGGAGAGAGCAAAACTGACCCTGTTTCTCCTTTTATCTAATTCAGTCAGAGCAGGTTTCAGGCAGTTTTCCTGCATGGGATTTCTGGCCTGTTTATTCCAGAAGCTAGCAAGAGGATCTTGAAGGTTCTTTTATATCCAAGCTTCCCCTAGGAGTGGTATCTATATCATCAGTGGTCAGCTGGCAAGATCCAGTCCCAGGAAATGCAGTTTGTAAGTAGCCAGGAGAACCTTGCCAAGTCCATGCTGCATGCAGAGCCACAATAGTTCTGGCTCTGGATCAGCTCCATGCCACACCTGGCCTGAGCACCTGCCTGTGAATAAACAGAGCACCGAATACATGAGATGAGGTGAGTTTGCTGAACAAACTTACCCTGCTGTAGTTGAGCTGCTCCCAAGTGGAAAGCAGACTCTGCAGGAAAAACTATGTTAGTTTGTTAGCCTGTATCAGCAGATCTTTCACTAGTAAGTACTAGATTGGTGTCACTGCTTCAAGGGAAACCTGAGGGTCAGCACCCAGAAAGTGCTAGGTGTCACCACTCTGCCAAGTTCTCCTGATGAGATGGGGAAACCAGAGGTCACAGTGCTGGGGGAGTATGGTACAAACCTACACCACCTTCCACTCTGAAGTGCATTTTGAGTTACTATGCCCTTCAGACTTGGTAACTTTTCTGTTGGGCTGAGCCTGTGGGCCCAGAATCACAGTTATCAGTAGTGGCAGCCTCTCCCAGCAAACGTGTTCTTGTGAGCAGTGTCAGCTCCCGTTTCTTGGAAGATTTGCTCAGTGAAGCCTCAGCTTCCGGTGACATGCAGCAGACTGCAGGAAGGCCTCATGTGGGAGGTGTCCCTAGGATGAGCCTGACCCTTATCTTGCCAGCCAGCTGCAAGGGGGTTATCTGGGAACACAGCTATGCACACACTCTTGCACTGGCTGGACTGCCTCGAGACTTTTCTCTTGTGTTGTAAAGCCAGCAAGAAAGCAAGATTGAACTACTCTGGTAAGTCAATAATGCTACCTTCTACTATTTTTTAAAATTTTATTTGATTGATTGACAATTACAATTTGTCAAGCACAGAAAAATACTGCCTTGTTGCTGGTATATGTAGTTATTCTCCTGGAGAAGTTACAGCAGCTCCTGTTCAGCAGTGGCATGAGACTGTAACATAAAAAAAGCTCGTTGACCAATGTCTCCCAGCACAGGTGATTATTCATCTGCTGGAGCAATGTCTAGCATGAAAAACTCCACTGGCCTCCATCCTCAGTGGTCAGCACCTTCTCTGCAGCCAAAGACTGTTTATCACTTTTTTTCAAGGCTGGAAAGGCTATTTTTTACTCATGGTAACAGTAGATTTATTTCTGAATCTCCTCTTGCAGTTTGCATGAACGAAACTTTGCTCCAGAGCTATGATGAAGCATGACAAAGTTCATATTCTAGTTTTTGATTCCTTGACAGAAATTTTCTTGGGTACCCTTATAATGCACCTCCAGTAGTGGTAAAAACACGAACAGCTCTTGTACATTTCTGAGGACTAGTGAAAATGTATTTGATGGCTGCAGCTAAGCCTTCCAGTAGCCATGTATTCATATCCCTCCTCAAATCCAGGCTGGAAGACCATGAAAATTCCTTCACCTATAGCAAGAGATCAGAATTTGCTCTCTTTTAACTCTGTTCTTTTCAGAGCTCTCGCGTCTCCAGTGGAGGACACCAAATTATCCAACTTTAGAAACTCTTCCTCAGAACAAAACAACAAAAGACCTTGGCTGTGGTGTCAGTCCTAGAGTGCATGGTGTCTGGTCTCCACCTCATCCCGTTTCACCAGGGAAGTGTTTGCAGGTGAAAATGAACAGTGGAATTCTCTTGTCCCTCCTTGGCTTCCTCCCACTCGTGACACCCTTATGCCCTGTGCCATGCAAGTGCACCACCAACATTACTGACTGCTCATTGAAAAACCTGACTGTAGAAAACCTGCCCTCTGCGTTCCATCCTTCAGTTGAAATCATCCACCTGGCTTCGAACAGGCTCACCTCTATTCCCAATGGGCTTTTTGACAACCTGAGGAGCCTCCAGGTAGTCTACCTGCAGGGCAACCCTTGGGAATGCACCTGTGACATCCTCTACTTGCGCTCCTGGCTCCAGTGGCAGCAGAACCGGAGCCTGTACAGGGATGTGAGGTGCAGCTCCCCGGAGCACCTGCGGGGCCGCATCATCGCCTACCTGACAGAAGATGAGATCGTCTCCACATGCCAGCACTGGTACTGCAGCCTGGCTCTCCTCTCCCAGTTCTCTCTCTTCATCCTCCTTTTCCTCCAGGGTATCTTGGTTATCCTCATCATTGTCTACCTGCAGAAATTTCGGAGAATGATCGCTGAAGCCCGGAGCACCACCCGAGAACTAGACTAGCGGGTAGACCCTTGGGTATCTTCTTCAATAAACCCCTCTAACAATGATTAACATTATGAGACAGAAGACCCTCCTCCCTTTGGGAGATGCTGTGCCAAAGTCCTGTAGTTTGTGATACCCAGAGAGGACAGTTTAGAACAGCATCTAATCCTAACAGCAGTCTGAAGCAGAACTTGAACTGATCAGACTTTTGCTGTGTTCCTAAAGAATCAATCTCATGTTTTTTCAATGCTTTAAATTCTTTAGCATTATCTTGGCTGCTTGTCTGAGCTAGAAGTGGTTCGGTAGACTGAGGAAGTCATAAACTACAGCAACCAGAACTGACTCAAACAGCTCATAAGCTCACAGGGACTCCAGTGCTCAATCCCTCCTCTCCTACAGTATTCCAGCCCTATTTCCCAGGATGCTTCTGGTTATGCTGGGTCAGGTGAGGACAGAGGTGGGCAGTGAACTGTTTGACTACTGAGCTCAGATAATGGAGAAATAGAGTTTCCTTCTGCTACCACAGACAGCATTAAGAGCTTTGGACCAGGGACTTAATCTTCTCCTGCCTTGGTTTCCCAAGTAAAAGGGAAAGGAAATGTCTTCTTGCTTGATGCATCTTTTTCAATGTTGCTCTGGGAGAGGAAGGGTATGTCTAGAAGCCCATTCATTTTACCTTATCTGCATTCCTTTTAGTCTATTTTAGTTTTAATACTGACTTGAGTGAGACTGGGGCCCTGAATCTTTATGAGAAATTCATCCTGAAGACAAGAATTGTTTGACTGTGCTTGTATGGCACCTGGCACAAGAGATTTGGTCTTGAGAGGTTCAAACTACAAACTCCACTGATATGCTAACTGCTGTTTATGGTGTCCCTTTATTTTTGAAATAAAGCAAAATTTAAATAAAATTATGCACAACAATGTAAACGGCTTATTTTTCTATTCTGCACTGTATATCTTGCATGCTGCTGTGCTCCCTCAGAGTTTGTGCCAAGCAAAACAAATCCTGAGGGTAGGTGGAGAAATTACTGCAGTGCACCTTAACAGTTAAACTTTGGGAGCTGCTGGCTTCTAGCATGGGCCAGGAGAAACAGGTGTTTCTTGTAAAGCCACTGTGTGGCTGCTTATTTTGTGATGCAGCTGGAATGGGGAGGGCGTTTGGTGGGGCCAGCAAGTTGTGGGGTGAACGAGCTGTGCCCTTCAGCCCCAAACCCAAGTCACGGGGGTCCATTCCCCACTCAGCTCACACACAAATGCAGCTCGGCCACGAGAAGGGCTCTTTGCCCAGGGGCTGCTGGCAGCGGTGGGGACGGGGCAGCCGGTGGCAGGGATGGGGCAGGCTGGGGCAGTGACCAAACGGGCGGGGGAAGGTGATGGGACATGGGAGCGGTGAGGGCAGTAACGGAGCAGCGACGGGACA